ACACACACACACGTTATATATATATATTTATATATATAAAACTGTTAATGTGTAGCTCTACAGTATTATGCTTTTGAGAAACTCTTGCACTAAACACCACTTGTGCCTGAATGTCTTGCTTGATGAATGTTTTCTTTATTTATTTTAGATGCTGTGTCCGAGCTGCTCAGCTATCAGGGCCGGGGGCAAAGGTTGCTGCGGAAATGGCTGCTGTGGAAATCGTTGCCGGGTGAGCCTATGCCATATGAAAGATTTACATTTTATATGCCGGTGTGGGGACCGGACTGATAACGATGGGTGATGTCATATCAAATACTAATGCATTACCTGTACTTTATTAGTAATTCACCATATGGACAGCTCCATCATGTTATTGTACGATTATATTCACTGTACTGTGAATTACTATTCAAAGTCAATACTTTTTTGGTCATTATATTTGACAGAAGTAGGGCTATAAACAGTATCAACTTGTTAGGAACTAGAATGCTTATTGTGGAGGCATTTTCAGTGAAGTAGTGTAATCTAATCTTAATTTTTATATTTTAATTGTAATTTTAATTGTAATTTCACCCCATTGTTGTTTAATTATTTTTTTATATTAGTTTTTGTTCAGTGTGAAGTCAATCATGGAATCAGTAGTTTGATGAAACAAAAAATACCCACTCAAGGTCCACTTCCTTGCTTTTCTAGAGGCCTTCAACCACATTTCACTGTCTTTCGCCATCAAAAGCCCTGAACAAAACTAGTCAGTGGATCTTTTTAGTGTCAAATGTATATTTTCTGGTTATTTTACATATGTTTGTATTCTTATATACTCCTAAACTTACTGATATTTAAAGATAAGTGATAAGTGAGCCATAAAAACAGAAAGGAAACTCTACCATATTACCTTTAAAATACCGTAAAAAATTTAGCTCTTTCCACCACTGGCTTGTATTAAATATAGACACTTCCTGCATCTTATTCAATTACAATAATATAAAATCTTTCCACTTATGAAACCAGGCTGCACAGGAGTGTGTTTGTGTCTTGTTTGTGTCTTTGTGTTTGTGTCCCGTCAAAGGTGTTTGTGTGGTCACATTGACAGCCTTAAAGAGCAACGTAGGCCTACTTTAGACAAGGAAAAACAAATGACAGACGAGAAAAGAAATCCTCAAAAAAACGACCGCCTGAAGAGGGAATCAGCGATTAGGGCCAGTAATTCACAAATGTCACATAAACAACATGTTCCTATCTCTCCTTTAGATGCTGAACTCTGTGTTCTCCTCTGCGTTTGGCCTGGTTGGAGCGATCTACTGCACCAGCGTGGCCTCTGCTGGTCTGGCTATCGGACCCAAGTGTCGGTTGGCCAATGGCGAATGGAAATACCCCTTTGAAGACTTCGGCACGTGAGTGTTCCTCCCACCATCACACATTTAAATGTGCATTTTCTTGACACTGAATCTCTGCTTCCATCAGTCATTGTCTGTGTCAGTGCAGCAGAGGAGTTTCAGTTCTTCATTATAAATATAACAAACGCAATATTATTTAAAATCCAGTAGGTGGCAGACCGGACCATCGCTTTCTGTGCAACCACTCCTCTTTCTTAGTCTTTTCATTGTCTTCTTGTCAAAGGTGAAAAACAATAATGTACAAAATCTTGATCATTGATCATGTTAAGCAAAAGATTATGCTTCTTGGCTTTTACAGTTAAGGAACATATAATGTAGTAGATACATTTGGCTCGATATCACTGAAGATAACACGACTGGCACTTTAAAGCATTTTACGAGCTTAGTCAGGTAACACTGAGTCACCTCATCGGGTGATTGGAACAAGCATTAATAAATATGAGCATGCTGTTAATATGTAGGCTATTGCTGTCCAGTTTAAAGGGCACCGGTGGTTAAAGGGAGGGAAACATTAATGCATGGTGGGATATTAATGCTTAGCCTCAGATTGTCTTTCCATCAGCAAAGCTCAATTTCCCTTTTTTTTTTGCAGTTTCTGGTTTTCTATGTGAGGTTCTGCTATGAAGTCCTTTTAACTGTCTGTTATTTTATATTTTAGATGAATCGATAATAGAAAATAGTTGGTTGGTCAGCAGCGTATCAGTGTTATCATTTTGAATGATATTGGACTTCTTGCTTCTTAAAATATCCATAATCTGACAAAACAAGTGTTGTTGTAGAAGTTTGAAGCTTAGTTTAGCATAAAGACTGGAAACAGCTAGCCTTGTTCAGTCATAATATGTCCTCTTTACACTTTGGTTTTTGCATGAGTTAAACAAATGAGAACTAGCATGTTAATCAGTGAGCTGATATGCAGATTTTGGACAGAAAGCTGTTTCACCCTGTTTGCAATCATTTTGTAACAAGTGAATGTCACTTTTCTCCAACAAAACCACTCTTATTTTCTACAAGAACTTCTCTCTTAACTCCTCGCCTTTCTATTTTTCCATGCGCTTTCTTTCTCCACTCCTCACTTGTTCCATTCACCTTCTCACGGACACATTTTTCCTCAACTCAGTCATCACACCTTTTCCTCCTGCATCCCAAACTCGGCGTGCCTCACACATATTTTGTATTAATGCTGTGTGTGTGTGTGTGTCTTACGCTCTCCTGCTCTTCTCCCCTCGCAGTGGTAATGGCAGCTACCTTGTAAACCAGACCATGTGGGCAATCTGTGATTATCCCCACAACGCAGTGATGTGGCACGTCGTTCTGTTCTCCATGCTGCTGGCCGTGGGGGTGGTGCAGCTGGTGCTCTGCGGCATCCAGGTGGTCAACGGCTGCTTGGGATGCATCTGCGGGGACTGTCGCGAAAGCAAAGATGTAGGTGAACAAGTCCTGAAACTCCAAACATAAAAAAAAGTACACTGAGTCAGGAGAGGATGCATACAACTCTTTGTAATGAGTGTCAGTACTTCAGAGTCCAGGAGGTCATGAAAGCTACACAGAAGGATTTGGAGCGGCCACAATAGGGGGAAGCAATAAAATGTGAAACAATTTTATCAAACGAGAGTACTGCTGGGAGTTAGACAGCCACTCTTACAGCTTGTTGAATGAATAAGTGGTGTTTTGATCTCTATCAGGTCTGCCACCGATGGAAAACAGGAAAGAGAACATGTGATGTAGTTTTGATCCTGTGTTGATAAAGTGTGCTGTTCTTACACTTTTATATGTAGTGCAAAAGCTGTTTCCTCTTGTTTCCTGTATTTGTGCTAAGCTAAGCGGCGGTTGGCTGTAGCTTATGTATCGTACAAACACAAGAGTGGTATCAATCCTCTCATCTTGCTCTTAACGAGAAAGCGAGTAAGCGTATTTCCCGATATAGTGAACTTTTCTTTAAAAGGAATTGGATTTTTTAAATAATAAAGTCGGGATAACTTTCCCCCTCAGTCTTTGTGCTAAGCTAACCTACTCATATGACTATTGTATGGTGACTGATCCATGAATAAGTAAACTAGCAGCTTGGCAGGAAAACTTGGAAATGTTTAATTTTGCACACGCTCATTTTCTACACAGGTTGAGCATTAAAACAGGGTTGAACATTTAACGAGGACGCTAAAAAGTGTTTTTGCTGACTTGTATTTGGACTCATTTCACCCTAAAGGACCGTTCAGGATTCACATACACGACTGCACCATATTTGTAACTTTTCTCAGAAAATGACAGACACGTCCACTTGTGTATTGTACCAACAAATATCTACACATTAACATGATGCTCACATTTATTAACAGCTCTGTCATTCATCTGAGAGCTTGCTTCCTGTCCCAAACACGAGATAAACATGCGACTTCTGTCCCGTTGCAGGATGAAGGCGGATTGTGAACGTGAAGAGGATGGCCTGGTAGTAACCCACTGTCACAAGGGCCGGGACGCATTTCTGCATTTAATACTTTGAGATGAAACAAGTTGGGGTTTTCTTTTGAGACTCTTTTGTCTCCCACCAAGTCTGCATCTTATGGCTATTTTAATTAAATCAAAGCCGTGCTCAATTTTGTTTGAATTGTATTCTAGCTGATGGTCTGTGTGTATCGCCTGACCTATATTTGGTTGAATTGGTCATTAAAGTACTTACTGAATTTATAAGTAATTTCCAAACTGAAGACTCCACACTGAACATACTGTATGGATCAAAGCCTGATTGTAAATAACTAGTTGCCTTTGTTTAAAGTGCCTCTACTTGGGTTATACTGTATATCAGGTGAATGTGACACAGGATATATCAGTTCTCTGTGACTATCAACATTAAAAACTTATTTTCCTGATCAGTTTTTATGTGAGCTTTGCTTGTTTTTTTTTCTTCATGCTGTGCTTCCCCCCCCCCGAAAAAAAACACTCTGATAAATACAGCAACCTCTGCACCAACCATGTAACTCTATAACTTCTGCAGAACCACTGTTAGTATCTCTGTCAATTACTCACCTCATGCTGTGCCCACGTCGCCAGACAGCCAGATCTAACAGGATTATTGAGCTCTGAGACAATGTCAAAGGTCAGAATGCCCCCTGCGGACGTTGCGAACACTGCAGCTGCATAAACAGTACACAGTCTGGACGGGCAGCGCCTGTTAGTGTACTGTAGGTGCAGGTTAAGCTCATAATCTTTCGCTGTCATGGAGCTGCTTCGTGGTAATTGTTACCTAACTTTTAAGTTAAAAGCCTGTGGCAGAGCTGCACACTGGTAAATATAGATGCCAATCAACCCAGAGCTAAGGCCATGTCTCCTTGGCAGTGCAGATAAAAGATGAGATCTCTGTGTGCAGCCAGGTGATTAACAATTATGCCTGTCAGCTTTTCTGTGTACTTTGGCGACCAAACCGTACAATTTCTCGCAAATGTCAAGTTCCTGTGTACTCATACTTCCAGGACAGAGAGAGGGGGGGGGGAGGGGGGGGGTGGTTGTGTAGCAGTGGAAATAAGGGCTATGCCCAACAATGAGACCATGTTAGCTGACTGATTGGCTGGTGGTGAGCAGCTCTCTTATATAATGCACAGCACAAAGCGAGGAAGGAGCATAAGTGAGAAGAATTTGGTATAAAAGAATGGCGGGACAAAGGGAGGAAAACGGGAAGGGGGGCCCCGTTCTCAGCCACTTCTCATGCAAACCGTGGCCACTCGAAGAATCCAGAGAGGAAAAGAAAGTGCTGTTTGATGACACAGTGGACAAATACTGATGAAAGTCCATGCATGAACTGAGGGAGACTTGAGAAACAGAGAGAGGCTCCTCAAGAGGGAATAACAACAAAAAAGACGGTTATTCAAGCGCTAAATTCCGCCTTGTGCACTTGTTAGGACCCTGTGGTGAGGCCATTATTTAGAAATGTACCCAAAATTGAGCCCCTCCTCTCTGTTTTTCAGGCTTGACTGACAAAACAAAAGAGGAGACAGATGGGGAAAAAAACAGGGGGCCATGAAGCAGAACTGGCCGGTATGGGCCGGACTAGCGAGAGACGAATTGGGACAGAGCAGGAAAACAGCACAAATCAGTCTGTGAAATACGAAAACAACATTATTGAACACACAACTCTACAATGTCTTTTCACATCTGTGGAACTCTCCTCAGCACAACAACAACCTCATTTAAAAGCAACAGTCATGCTGGCAAGACTCACACATGTACGTAAGTGATAACTCAGCAGAGTCCACCACCCAATAATTATCCAGCCACAGTACGAATGACCTAAGCACAGCCACAAAGTACAGTCAGGCACATTCAGCAGGTTTGTAAGCTTATTTACCCCTCTGTCCGAAATCAATCAATTTGAATTAAAAGCTACATTTTTACCTTTTACTTAACTTTCCGTTTATTCAATTTGACTTAAACATCCCCGTAAAAGCATCTCGGTGTTGCTTTTACATGTGATGCATCAATAAAATGACTTGATTGCTCACCACTCTGCACTGATATTCAACTAAATGAAAATGAAATTTTTATCGAAAAAAAAGCCTGGAAAGTATGAAGATGGAGCTTCTTTGTCAGGTCATAATTTGAGTTGAACTGGCTGGAAGTTCTGCTCAGCTAACAATTGCTTAAAGATGCTGACAGCACCTGTCTGTGTGACTGGCACTATATCATCATATAACACTGAAACGTGATATTTGACACCTGGACCGCACATTACCAACAAGACTGTGTGTCACTTCAGATCGTCTGCTTACTACACTCAGCATTCCCAGCTGATCTACATGGTATATGTAGAGGATACAACCATTAGGCCACTTCGCCCGCGCACTTCTGGATTATTTCAATCACAGAGAACAATAAATGTGAAAAACAAGGAATGGTAAAGAAGCGTGACATGATGTACAGAAGGAGCGAGCTGAGGAGAATAAAATGGAGGCTGGAGCCAACCTCAGCCAGTCAGTCGTGGTCCCGGCTCCACAGAGGCATGCCAGCATCAACAGAAAATAAACAACATTGGTGTGGGAATGTCCGGACCTCTGAGGGGGGAGGGAGGGAGCAAGAAACAGGGAGCTGGGGACAAGTAAACACTCACACTGTGGGAGGAGCACACTAGTTTGAGTCTGCAATGACTTCATTTTTGTTTCTTTGCAATTGAATCACCTTATCTTGAAATACTATATCAGGGCAAAGGAGTTACTGGGTGGCTGGAGAGACTTGAGGCATCTTAACATATGTCCTGCATATGTTGTTTTCAGCAAGATATGAACCATATACTGTAGATGAAAATAAATCGAATTAGCATGCCATGTAAGGCAGTAAGCGCACAGAATCTCATAAAGTCCTGCACACTGCACTCATAAATCTTTCTAATGCAATGTAAGATCATGAACGTCCAGATCAGTAACACTGATGATCTAAACCAGCGGGCTTTCAACCTGGGAGTCTGGACCCTGTAAGGCGTCACCATGCAAATCTGAAGGGTCGTGAAATGATTATGAAGATCATATCTGCCTTTATTTAATAGCCAACAATATGAAAGTGACAGTAAATGAAGGTAGAAAAACCTTTGCACCCTGGGCTGCACTTTTTGAATGAGACTCATCACCCTCCTGCTTTTTGAAGTTGTGGCACTTTATGTGAATATCTCCATTTGTGAGACTTCACTACACGTTTTAATGGATGTCTTTCACCTCAGACTAATTTTAGATCACGGTCGGGCTACCTTTGACCCTCGCATGTCTCTCGTTCGATCCGTTTCTGTCTGCACGTCGGCAGTGCTGCTATTCCCGTCTCTCGGCTCCAGTGGAGCAATGGCAGCGAGGGATTAAATTGCCAAAAATAATTCACACAGGATGATGTCAGTATAACGACAATATCGCTTTCCACTCGCCATCCAGTTTGTCCCCGGGATGATATCACGATGGCATTGAGGCCAATGGGACAGTTGGGAGTGGTTCGGTTCCTGATATCGGAGCCTCCTCCGCACAGGGAGTTACTGTGTTGCCTCATCATCATACTCGGGCTGCTGGCAGACTGGCGAGGGGCACTTGTCACCTTACAAGGAGAGGAACACCGCAGAGGGACCACTTCACTCTCTGTGACGGCGTGACAGCAACCTCAGTGCAAGTTTGGAATCTGCCGCACATAAAAGAAAAGGGCCGTTGTTTTAACACACTTTCCTAATCCCCAGTTTTCAGTTTATGAAATGCTCATATGGGACGTTAAAAACATTCTAATCACTCTGAAGTAGGTCAAAACAAAATCCTAATTGTAACAGAATATTCATCAGTCTCAACAGTCAGAGCAAATGAATCTTGTTTTATGTTTAATTTAAAAGCTACAACTCTGCTCAACTGCTAGAGTCCAAGTCTGCTGCTCTGCTGTTAATCATCCGCGCAGAGTCGAGATAAAATTAGAGACAATGTCCCACCAAACCATGTCTGTCCTTCACCCACATCCGCAGGTGTAAATGTGTGCATGTGAGCGAGCTCATGTGTCTCTGTCACTATGCCGGGTGAGATTTATTAGCTGCCGTGAAACACGCAACTTGGTCTTGATTAGATGCTTTTGGCCCCTGGACATGAAACAAGCCACAATTACAATGAATTATTATTCAATATAAATAATTGACTTGAATGACTATTGTTGGACGGTGCAACAGGACACAATCTGTGCAGGCTTTCGGCCTGATCAGATTACATCCTTTGAATGTTCATCTACAGGAAACAATATGAAAAACGACTGTTCCACGTAGTCACAGAACAGAATCCGCTTCAGAAGTGTTCCTGCTGCTACACAGGCGGTTTCCAGGGTGATTTCTAGCCAGCCGGCGCAGACTCACTCTGAGAGCTCATCTGGGTGAATTTCCACTCTGACGAATACCGTCCAATCAGTGAGCTGCCCTCAGTAAGCCTTAAACCTTGAACCAGAAAGCTAACAAGCAGCAATAAACCATCCAATGGGCCAAGAACTCTCCTCTGACTATCTATCTGTCTTTACAGAGAGGGTTGTGTGGGAACCTTCTTGTTCAGAACTGTTTGCCAAAGTCTGATTTTAATTTCATCTCCAGGTTTTGCCTCCTGTCACAACATGACAAGTGCTTTGGTTTCCAGCCAACGAACATGGAGATCACTGCCAGTCCTGGCTTTGGGTGCGACTTCATAGTTTGATGCTATTCAGAACATTTTGACGCTATAAGCCAATTGTGTTTGCATGTATTATGCATTGCACGTAATCATATATCAGCCAGCAGGCTATAACCAGTTCTGCATGACTCTGTTGTGCTGGGTAGTTGCTGGAGGAAGCTACACGTGGTCACACCTTTATTCTTAATAATTTACTTCTAACAAATATGTTGTTCGCTTCTTTTTTTTCCGGCTCACGCTATGTCCATTTCCAGAAATCTGATAAACATGAGCCATGTGATTACACCGAAGTGTTGATTCAGATCTTAGCTTGCGATTCCGTGCACCGCAGGTATACGTTTGCAGTGAGAGGGAAATCTATGTAAATGAAAATCCGCTGTGTAATCCATGGGGTGGCTTTTGAGGGGCACCTGCTGCTGGCTAAGTCTTCTCGGTATAGTGTTGGTCCTCAGACTAAAACCCTCTCACTCTAAAAGTATAGGAAGGGATTTCCTCCACAGCTCAGGGTCTCACTTTCTTCAATGCTCAAACACCGCTGTCTCATATAGCTGCATGTTCATAGAAATAAGCATTAAAAACTGAATTACACATACAGACGTGCATAACTTTGAGTTTGGGCCACTAATAACACATTTGCTGATTTAAAAGTCCACATAAATTGAATGGTATATTCCCATAATAATGGTGATCACAATAATTGTTAAAACTCTTATTCAACATCTTACAAAACTAAAAAAAGAAAATGGAAATACATTTAAAAACAGCTAAGAAACACAGCTGATGATGACCTCTGACCTCTCAATGGAGCTACAAGAAGACAGTCATTCCATGGATGAGGTCAAATCCCCTTGATTTTGACCTGTTATCACACTTGACTTGAAGGAGTGGCTATTTATACACCAAGCTATTGATGATCACATTTTGTGTGTTATCTGTATCAACAAATATGTGAACGAGGTAGAGGCAAAACACAGCAAGGCATGCAGGAGGAAGTGTGTGCAGCGTGTGTGTGTGTGTTACGTGAGATGATGGGCGAGAGGCAGCAAACGAGGAAAGGAGAGTCAGAGGGAGGGAGAGCGGACGGGAGGAGAGGCGGAGGGAGGGTGAGAGAAAGTAGGCGTGTCCTCCTCTCCCTCACCATGCTCCGGGGATTAGCTATTTAAAGTTCCGTTGCTCCGCGCCACAGAAGCCTTTTTCCATGCAGCCAACGGGGACGCAACAGTACGGGCAGCGCTCCGAGGACGTGCGTTTTAACGAGGGAGGCCACAGATGAAGTAAAGGGGAAAAAACCGTGTTGGGAATTATCTAAATCATCCTTCTTCCGGTGCCCGTCTTCACTTTTCTACTTGTTTATTTCACCAGGTGGGTCATTTAACTCATTTAAACCTCGAATGAAAAGGTATTCCTACGCTGGGTGCACATAATTGGCCCGCGCGTCTCAAAAGGGCAGGAGGTGTGTCAGTGGAGGAGGACTCCTGTTCATGAAGAAGCCACTCTGGCACGCGCACACACAGCATTCTGCGCACTTGTCGAACTTTATTCTGCACGCCTGAATACGCCATGCTGTGCTCTTTAACGAGCCACCGTGCCAGTTTAATTGGCATCTCTCATTTATACGCAAGTTAAAAAAGTATCGTATCTGCAGGTTTGACGTCACACTTGCATGATGGTAGTTTCCACTTGTGTCACTTCAAATGTTTACCCACCTTTTAATAGATCGATGAGGGAGCCAGAGCGGTGCGTGTAGTGCGCTGGGTGAAAGCTAAGATTAGCCTGTCTGGCGCAGCTTTTCATTCAACCTTTCCAACCGCGCGCGCACAGAGGCTTCCACCTCCTGCACGCGCATCTGAAGGTGTGTTAATTAGCTAAATATGACAACTAGTGGTGGGGGAAGTTTTTTTTTTTTTTTTTTATAGTACAAGTTAGGGACCGTACCAAAGTTAATAGGGGGGGGGGGGGAATCATTTTTTTAAAATGTTGAAACTAAAACTGGTATAGTTTGACTTTTGGGGGAAGTATGGGGTGTGTGTTTACTGTTTTAAGCCTTCTTTAGCCTTATAGTGAATAACAAATAATTACAACAACAAAAACAAACTTTACGTAAACAATATAGGCTACAGCCTTTGTGTCGGGGTTTTATTAATGTGCACGATGGGCTCACATTAGCAGTTCCATGAAGATATTAAGGTTTAAATTGAGCTTGCCATACCAATCATTTTAAGAGGAATGTTCAAAGAAATCATTCATAACCGTGGCAATAATCACAAAGTAAGTATTATCTGCCCGTCTCACCACTGCAGCAACTTTCATACAGTCCCTAAAAGTTTTGCATTCTAAACTTTCTCCTTTTACAGTGTTGTACTATACTACTTAATTATTTTATTGCTGCATTAACCTGTAAACTGCATGTTAATTATGTATTGGGTGCAGCTAACTTGAACTACTGTATATTGTGCTCAGTTTGATATAGAACAACAAATTCAAGCATGTGTTTCATCAGCAACAGTTTCATCAGTAAAGGAACTAGAACTGTCAAATAATTGTAGTAGAGTAAAAAAACATAACATTTGCCCCTGAAGTGTAACAAAGTAATAGTTTAAAGTAGCATAAAATGGAAGTACAAGTACCGTAACATTTTATTAAAGCACTATTTGAATAATTTCCTCGAAGCTCTATAGAAACACCTTAAAAGCGGCTTTATCCTCTGGCTGTGATGAATATTAATGAAAGCGGATTGTATGCTGCTATTAATGGACACACACATTTGTGCAGGTATACGTGCACAGAGTGTGTGCGTCATCCAGCCTGGCAGGCCTGTGTGAGGCTTTGTGTTGCAGGCCGTCTTTTTCTTTATTTTTTATAAAACCCCAAGGACTGACTGGAGAAGGGGGCGCTCAGGGGGAAACGTGGAGCAGTGGCAATATTGTTATCACATTACTGTAAGCATATGTGCTCTGCTGCTTTCTTTGCTTTCTTTAACATTGTTTACAAAGCCGATAAGAAGCTAAGTGTGGTTCGGTGGCTTGGAGAGAGAAAAGTTTAAAAATGTTTGAATACAGGGGATCATGCTCAGCAAACAAGCCTTTTACCTCTCCCTGCAAACACACACATGCACTCAAAAATATGAACTTGCAAATGTTTTTCTGGAAGGATTGCGCAATTTCCAGCTCCATTAGTGAGCCGCCACTGATTGAGCAACTGAAAATCGCATTATTCAGGTTATGCATGTTGCTCACATTAACTGCCCGCAGGCTGGAGCTTCCAGAGAAACGCATGAAGAGAGAAAGAGGTCGAGGCACAACTTCATACTTCTCTTTCTCACTTAGATCTTCATTCTTGACCCACGTCCTTTCTATTTCTTCTACTTCCTCTTCTCCCCTTCCTCTCCGTGGTCAATGTGTCTCTGTGGGTACTTGGGCGTGAATGCAGGAGTTTGCCATCTGAGGTTGTTTTTCTCCTCCAGGCTCCTAAGCTGCTGCCAAACCTCCACAGCCAATCATGATCTGGGCCCAAAATTCCTCACCACTGACTAGGGCCTCAATATTGTGTGTGTGTGTGTGTGTGTGTGTGTGGAACTGCTTCCCACGCTTGCTATATTGTTGATTCTCAAAGAATCTATAGCATGGTTGTAGGAGGAAACTAGAATGATTAAACTAGGGGAAACCATTGTCGGTCAGTACTGTCCCTTTTCTCGTCCCGTCACAATGTGAGCTATACTGTGAGGTCTCATTTCACAGGCAGGACCTCTACATTGAGCTCAGCATAATGGAGTCACTGTGTCTGGAAAATGGGATAGGATTTCACAGCCACACCTGAGAGAAAATTAGACGGGAGGTGCATTAGATGGTTAAGAAATGGACGAGAAAAAAATAAAGCAGCTTTTGTGTGAATTTATCCAAAAGAGAGACTGTGAAATAAGAGATGAGGTTTTCATTTATTTACCAAAAGTCTCCTCTGCAGCCTGTCTGTAAGCCACAGCAGCTGTGACTGTATGCGTATGTGTGAGCTGTCACGTCTCCATGAAGCCGCCTCCCTGAGTGAAGGAGCACGAGGAATCGGCAGTAAACAGTGTGGGGGGTGGGGGGTGTGTCAGGCAAACACTGTTCTTTATGTTGCAATCACAGTTTACTGTTTGACAACAGATATCCAAATCTTTCTATCTGTGATCAATGAACAATGAGGCTTAGTGCTTTATCGCTTTCTCATCAGACTGAAATAGGCGTTTTTTTCAGACTCCGAGTCTCTTTGTGGTCATTTTGAGCCGTTTTGTGGCCGTTCTGCATCTCTGTATGGTCGTCTTAATGTCTCTCACCGGTTGATTAGTCTCTTTGTAAGACTTTTGCTCCTCTTTGTGGCTGTTTCGCATCTCATCATGGTTTATTTAAGTCTTTTTGTAAACCTTTTGCCTTCATATGTGGTTGTTTTGGATTTCTTTTTAGTCCTTTAGTCTTTTTGCAATTTTGTGGTCATTTTGCATCTCTTTGTTGTCGTTTTAATGTGTCTTAGTGGTTGATTAAAGTCCTTTCTGTAATTTTGTATCACGTCGTTGTTTTGAATGTTTTTGTAATAGTTTTGCATCTCTCCGTGGTCATTTTGAGTCTTTGTGGTCATTTTGCATGTCTGTTTTGATTTGAGTCTTTTTGTAATGATTTACTTTGATCCTCTAAAGGTTATAAATAAAAGTTTAGGTCATTTGCAGCAGAAACATTAAAGCTACACAAGTCTTAACCTAAAACACTGTTACAATATAAACTTTCGAGATAAATAACCTCCCTACGCTCCATTTCACCTGACCCATTCCCTAACCCGATTAAGACTAAAATAAATACCTTTTTTCCCCCCTCGCTCTCAGTAAATGCAGCTGAGTGCTGGCGTGTGGCCCTGGCTTTATCATCATTCAGAGGTGCCACAGATAAGAGGGACAATCCTCTGGGAAACTGAATTTGACTGATTTTGTTGCTCAATGAATCGGTTCTACCTGCGGCCTCAGATCAACGATTGGGTCTATATTCAGACCAGATCCAGGTCTAGTAACCCCTCACTGGAAGGCACACTGCTGGGAGGGAGAAGTCCAGAAACAAAAGCTTTTAAAATGAAAACAATAACTTGCACACATCACATGACCTCTATGTAATCCGTCTGGTTGTCAGGAGAAGGCTTAATATGCGTCTGGCCCATTGACGTCCTGTTCCGGGATTAGGCGGTGTTGACGAGGTAAATACTGACTGATTGGTGGTTGCTGGGTCACGGTGCTGTTGCGTTACATTGGTCGGCTTGCGTTACGAATATCATGACGCTGAAGCGCAGGATCATAATTCAATTAAACTGACCTGGTGATGAGACGAGGAGCTGTCAGCAGGCACTCAGACATGCTCTCCTTGTGATCAAGGCAGCTTGAATGGAAGCTATCGGAGACGTGAGCTTCCTGCAAAACATTTTGGACCGGACTCTTCACTCCCAATTTGAGAATGTTTTTCACTTGCATTGTAGGATGGGTTTACCTCTGTTCAAAAGCTCGTGCGTTGCCATATTTTTAAGTTTTTGTTCGCATTTGTTTGTTTTTATGCTGCTTCTCTTAAACTTAAGTCTCTGTTCACTCCCCTCTCTCTACAGACATCGCTGCCATGGGTGTGAAGATGCTGCAGTGTTTTCCTTTCTACAGACGCTGTAAAGAGCGCTGCAAGAGCAGACAGTGCCCCCCAGCGGCAGGTGAGGAGCAGCTACACATTCAATTCAATTGTAGACCAATTTAAAAACAGCCGTGTCGTGACAGTATGTCCTCACAACGCCCGACTCTCTGTCCATCTTCCACCTCTCAGTTCCCATTGAGGAGATGAAGCCCCGCCTGTGCTCCACCACGTCCTGTGGTAGCGACAGCGAAGGAGCAGGAGGCCTGAGTCGCGGCTCCCAGATCTACTTCTCCACCAAGGCCAGGCTGTCGTTTAGACACCAGCTGGACAGCAACATCAACGCAGTGGACGCCACCTACTGAGGACGACGTGAGAGGTCTGGAGAGACGATAAATGGATTCCTGTACCTTCGATTTTCTGTCGCCCATTCGCGCTTGGACGCTGTGGCGCAACCCCGGGAGCCCGATGGCCGAGCAAGAGCATCTGTGGTCCCCTTTAGATGGGATCAACAGCAGTGTGCACAGCCACAGTGTGCAATCAAACCCCTCATTGTTCGCTGCCCACAAAGAACTCTCTATGATTAATCAGACTCAACGAGGGACCGGGGAAAAAAGACTGAAACAGACGTGGTTTTCAATTTCTGTGCATTAAGGTTTTCCGTGGATCCACTGCCCAAACAGTCACAATACTGATTGGAGAAGAGACAGACTTGTTTACAGCATTCACTACCAAAAAGTGCATAACTTTTTTTATTGTTTTTTTTTTTTCTGTTTTTGTTGGCCAACTTTGTGGGAAAAACCTGCAGATTTGTTAATTCACTGTTGAGATAACTGAGTGTTTCACAAAGCGAGATGAGGGAGTTAACCTTTGAAGTATGTGGATGAATATCTGTAGCTACACCGCATCATTAGCCACCATCATGAGTAGGGCTGGGTACTTGATACTAATAACCGAAATAACCCAATAACAAGTAGTATCGGAACTTCTCCAGTCAAACGATACCCGCATCAAATCCTTTTTGTGCTGAAGATCTAGAAAGAAAATAACTTTGTATGGTTTTGCTCGCAGCCAATCGCTGCAAGCGTTCTTTGACTCAACACAGTCTGTTGTGAGGTGGAGCGCGGTGTGTTTCACTGAGTTGGCAGTTTAGCGTGCTGAGATGCCACCACAACTCTTCAAAGGAGGCTGAATCACACTGCCCAGATAATACTTCATTGTACAGTTACTTTTAATAAATATTTTGATAATTTGAACACTTAAAATGTATGAAAATCATTTGGATTTTGGTATCGTTATCACTTTAATGGTACGGTCATGTTTTGAATGACACCCAGCACTAATCACGAGGGACATATTACGAAACCTATTGACATTTCTTATAACCAGGAATGTACTCTGTTACGAAACCCCTGTACACTATCAGAGGAGGGAGCACAGCAGATGTGTTTGCCTCTAGTTAGTTCCTCCTTTGAAAGCTTGAAGCAAAAGTTGTTCAGCTCACTCCGGCTAATTTCTTGTCTTTAATATTTTATAACTGAAAAAAAAAAACCTGATTTCATGTGATATTAAAATGTTTAACTTTTTAACAAAGCTTAACTGGTGAACAGGTTTCTGTATTTGCCTGAAACACACATGACTGTAAAGTTCTGATCCCGAATGACAAAAATGACGAAAAATGTTTGCCCTTTGATGCAAAAACCCTTCGAAGTTATTCAAATCTACAATACGTCAACACAGTCTCTTTATTCTTGACTAACAAAATAATAACTAAAAATGTACATTAAAAATGTCTCCTGTGTTTTTGTTGATGGTGGATGTGAAGTTTTGCAGAATTAGATTTGGGGATTACACACTAATGTACAGAAACAACACTTTTTACATTTCTTAACCAAGACACAGACAATGTATCTTGTTCACAACATTTATTTAAGAAATGAGTTCACTGGTATAAAAAAAAAAAGTCTATTGACAAACTTCTTCCAAACCTGTGACCAATGATTTAAGCCATCACTGCTTGTGTTTGGGGTCAGGGTTTGGAGATGACGCCATCTGGATAGCGGTTCTTAAATCGAGCCACGACATCAGGATCCAAGAGATGAATGCCATCAAGCTGGTTCCCAAGAGTTACCCTGGAAGTGGGACATCAGCACATTTAACATATGCAGAAGAGCTTCTTGGCCTTTAAATTAAATTAAAGCGTGATGTGTGTTACCAGTTGGGCTGGACGTTGTGCGGTCGACCGAAAAGCTCGATCTTCCTGGTGCCGGGCGAGAGTCTCTCTATCATGCCATAGATCTCATCTGGTTTGTGACTGGTGGAGCGGACCTGGAACAGAGAGTTTGAAATGTAATGAAGAGATGGAATCTTCTTCACGCTGGAGAAATCATAAATACACGACCAAATGATAAAAGATTTACCTCGGCCACAATTACGTCGCAGTCCAAACCTCGGTTGAATCCCTGAGGGTTTCCCTTTACGCCCACCTGAGGAGAAACAAATGGTACGTGTTACATTTCAGGCAGTTATATTTCACAATTTTGAAAGCCACATTTACAAAGAATGAGCCTGTAGCAGCTCAGCATCTCGCTTCAAATCACCTTCTGGCTATTTGGCGGATTCTCTATGCCTTTGCACGGCAGCTGGACGTCACGAAAAAGAATTGCAGGATCACATGTCACACAAAAATCCACCTCGTCAGGCTTCAAGTAATGAGTTTGTGGCGAGCCAGCCAGTCATGTAAGGAGCTACTGGCAGCTACTTGTACCTTACGAAACAATGATGGTGGCTCCTAAAGAGGTTGGCGTACATGGACAAGATGTCTTCTCTCACTACTAAGAATGAACATGCAAAAAGTAGGAACTCTTGGAGGCTAAACTCCTTCAGCTCAGAGCTTTGCAGTTTCATGCAGGCTCACTCAGTATATAACAGACTGTTACATACAGACATACCAGACAGTGCTCCTTCCCGTGGTTCAGCCAATGGCCGGTCCTTCCCGTGCGGATGATTCTCTGCAGCTGGTTGGTTTTCACCCAAATGATTTCATCGGCTCGGTCATAGCTGAAAATAAATACATAAATTTAAAAAAGGAGTCCTAACAAAGTGGTGGCTTGATGCTAGCGGATGCACAGAAGGAGAGACTCACCCCCAAAGACTGAGACACTCTCTGCCCAGCTCCATGGCTCTGTAAGAGAGGAAGAGAAGACACAACGATGTGTGGATGTGCAGAACTAGGTCCCTGCCTCCTATTATCAATGTATTAACATGCAGGTTCAACCTGTAAAACAAGCGTTTGTGGGTTGTAAGTTATGAGAAATCTGACTCCTACTATTTAATTTAACTTAGAGAGCTTGAACTTTTGGGGGTGGAAACTTGAAGAATGGGAATAGAGTACAGCCAGGCGATCACTGTAAAACAAAGAGAGAAAACTGTACGGCATATCCTCATGTTTAAAATGTCGGTTTGGATCGTTGTAGTTACCTGCCGGTGACCCAGAGGAAGAGGAAGCCGTCGTCTTGCAGGATGGGGATGTTGAGCTTTCTCATCTCGTCGTCAGTCAGCGTACCATAAGGCAGCTCCATGTGGATGTCCCACGGAGGGTCGGCCATCACCACAGCGAACTTACCGAGGATGGACACGTCCAGGAAGCGGATGTCGCAGCAGATCCACTGCAAAGGAAAAAACAGAAAAGAAAAAAAACACAGCCTATGTTAATTTCATAGCCAAAAATATCAACATCCATCTCTCTCTCGCGCGCTGGTACGACCGTCGGTCCTCATCCGTCCTCTCTCAGCCTCACCTGTGAGGGGAACAGTTTGCCCACGTTGCTGTCGGCGTCCCCTGCGCAGAGGCCGAGCTCTGTGGTCCCGCCCTGGGGCCCCAGCAGGCTCCCCTCGGCCTCCGGAAGGCTGTCGATCTCGTAGTGGACGTACTTGCAGGTGTCCATGTGGAAACACGTGTTGAGGAAAGAGCAGTCGCCAAGGCTCTCGTCCGTGTGCTTGTTGATGATGCGACTGAAGGAGATATTATGCATCACGAATCCAATCAGCAGCATAAACATAGTCGTGCAATGTCATCATTATATTTTAACATCAGGTTTGAATTAAAAAAACATCTTCTTTAGCACAAAGGTTGAAATACTGGAAGGCAAATACAAATGTAATAACCCTTCATGCACAAGTGTCAGTCAAGTTTATTAAATTTGAAATTTTATCCCCGAGGCACACATTCTTTTCCTAACTCAAGTCCACTTGAGACCACTTAAACACGCTTTCATCCCTTTCAGATTGTTCAATTTCAATAACTTGCCTGAAAGGAATGACATTATCAAACATTTCACAAGGAAATATTCAAAAACAAACAAAATTGTTTGTAGGAGAATCTGTTTTTGATCCCACATCTGATTATAATGTTAATGGTGGTTTCCCGACCACCGTTAGGGAACCATTACCACAGAGCATCATTCAGAATGAGGAGAACCTCCACAAACTATATACTTTGAGATGAAAACAAGATGCATTCTCCTTTTCAATTTGATTAAAATGAAATCATAATGTAGCAGTAAGCTTTATTGAAATTATTAGCATGAGGCGAGTCATCGTTTTGCAAGAACATTGTTCAGATTTGGTGTTTCTGATAGTAGTATGTTTTAAACTTTATTTATAGTGACCTCTTCAGGCCAATGGGGGTATTTATCTGAATTGATTAAAAATCTGTTGCCGCTGTGAAGAGTCTGATAGAAACATGTTATCGTGTTGGGTGATATAAAAACAGAGAAGAAGAGTTGCTGACCGGAAGTGTAACTTGGTGCACGGCTGCGGCGTGTCCCCGGAGCGCACACACTCCTCTTTGGTCCCGTGGTCGCAAAACTCTTGGACCTGAGCTCGGCCGCGAGATCGGAACTTTAACACGATGGACTGCTCCTTGGCTGTGCTGGCGTTAAGCAGCTCAAGAATCTCTCTGCTCATCTGGACATAAATGACATTATACCCGTATCAGTTATCACACCTCCAGACTATCCTGCTTCACTTACACGTCGGTGAAAATGTAACTGTAATAGAATAACTCTGGGTGCCGTAAGAGACGAGGAGAGATCTTGGTCGGTCTCCTAAACCTTCCTACCTTCTTGCTCTGCTGCTCTTTAGTGGACTGTTGGTTCAGGAGACTCTCTATCTCCATGTCCATATGGGACGACTGGCTTTTGCTGCTCCTGCCCTTCTTATCGGCCCCGCTCCCTGAGGCCGAGGGCCCCCCCAGCTGCAAGGAGGAAGCCGGCGTCACAGAGGTGAAGGAGGTGCGCGGAGGAGAAGCGGAGCTCTGAAGTGAGGGCGACTGGCCCGGAGCTCTTTTGTGGTGGGTTTGATCTTCTGCTTTTCTCTTGACTCCGGTCCGCTGGGCTCCGGCCCCGGGGCCGATCATGGCCCATAGTTTTGTGTGGTCCACTGCTACCACGATTGAGGGGGAGGAAGTAGCAGAGGAAGAGGTCGCGGTGGGCTGCCGGACCTCGATGAGCTCCTGAGCAGAGAATTTCAGCAGCAGACTCTGGATGCTTCCGTGACTGACAGCTGATTCAGACTGTGAGCAAACATGAAGGAAGAAATAGAAAATATGACGTTCATATAATACAGCCACGCTCAACACAACATTTCTGTGACAAAGACTCACGCTGAGTTCATTTGTGATGGCAAGGGAGTCCGTTGGCATCGAGAGACTCAGATCAGAGAGATATCCCAGCAGTCTCTTCTCTAGCTCCGGGTCTGGTGGTTTTTCCGTCTCCTCCTGAGTGGGGAGCGGAGCTGTCGGAGCCGGGCTGTCACTCCTGGCTGTGGATCCCTCTGTGCTGCTTCCGCCATCTGACAACAAAGGTTAACACCCTCCTTTTAAAAAAAGGGTTCTTCCAGATCATTTATCAATTGTGACGATGTGAAATCAATTACACAAAAACATTGAATTCCAGCCTGCTATTAGGCGTTTCACCTGGATGTGAGGAATTTGCTCAGAAGAATAAAAAGCATAATGATGAATTTTGGTGCAACAATTTTCGAACAAAGGGAAATTCCTTAATTAAAAAAAGCTTTCAATGTTTCCTGGACATCTTGTAAAATACATATGTTGACTAATCTCTCTCTAATTCTATTTTTAATATAGAAACTTCACAGTAATGAAACACTGAATAGTCAGTCTTTCCACAGTTGATGTGAAAACACACACAATGAGGCAACGTTACAGCATGTTATTGTAGCTGAGACTATTAGTCAAACAGGAAATTAACCAACAACATTTCCGATAATTGATTCCCTCATTTTCCATTAATTTATCAAGCAACGGGGAAATAATAAGTTGAGTTTCTCAAATGTAAGGATATCTGCTTTTCTGTGTTAATGTCAGTGAAAGTTGAACATCTTTAAATGTTAGACCTCTGTAAGAACAAAACGATTGGACAAGTCATTCATTAAGGAATGAATCCCTGGTTTCTTCTCAAAAGTTTCACAAAATGAATATTTGCTGCTTTTCTTTCCATTCTGTGATCGGGTATTAAGGTTTTGGACTATCAGTTATAACCAGGGCTCTGGGAAATACTGATGGACATGGGACTATTTTCTGACGTTTTATAGACCAAACAATTGCTCGATTAATCGAGAACACAATCGTCATTTTCATTAATGATGCAAATAATTAGTTACAGCCCTTTAACTACCAAACAATAATAATAATAATGACAAAACATGGGCATTTGTCTTCATTCCTGACCATGTTCAGACTCATAAACTACGTGATTAATCTGATAAATACTCCATTGATTACTTAACAATAAAAACAATGGTTCTTTGCCGCCCTGCTGGTAACCGCTCTCTCTGGCCTGACCGTACCGGAGGACAGTGTCGCCGGGTCTTTCCTCCGCCGCTGCAGCCTCTCCCGCAGCGAGTCCAGCTGCTTCTTGTGCGCCTGGATGCTGCCCCACGTGTCCGACATGACTGGATTTCAACAACGACGCCGCTGCACACTGAAGAGAATCTAAAACAAAAGTTGATCACTTGTCCGCCTTGTTGACGGCAGCGAATAAATGCATGGTCCGTCCCGAAATGGCGTCCGAGGAGCATCTTGCGTGAGAAACGTACCGGTTGACTGGTGCTGCGTGAACGAACCGTCCTTGAGGTCGTGTTATCTGAAAATAAATAAATAAAAATACTTTCATCAGCCGGTTCGGAAATATATGTCTTAGCAACGACTATTAATTCAATTAAAATATATATTTGTCGGATTCATTTTGGGTACGTACTGACTACCCCAACTTCCGGCTTCCGGTAAAATTAAACGCCCATTTCCTCTCTGCTAAAAATAAAATTTAATTCGCGCTATTTCTGTAAATAAATGTTTTCTGTCATCATACTATGATTATAGCATTATATTTAATACTCGTGACGTAAGTTGGCGTACTTTTACTCCACGCGCTACGTTACTAGGCTGTTTCTGCTGAGCAAAGATGGCGGAAGACGAGAAGAGTGGCGAGCCCGTGAAAGAGAAGAGCGAGCTGCAAATTATGAAGGTATTTGCTCTCGGTTATTCACACGAACATTCACTATCTACGAAGTGTCCGAGCCCTCGTGTTTTGTTGACTTTTCGTGAGCGCAGCGTCGTGCGTGTCCTCATAATTTGCTCACTGGACGAGTCGTTACTACAACAACTGCCCTATTTAACAGACCTCATCTAGTATTCAGCCTTTATTTCTGATGCTGTGTCGGGTGTATGAGTGCCCTGCTTCTTATTCTATGGGTAGAATAACTTCTAAACTGTCCGGTCATCCAATCAAATCGCCAGAAACATGATTTATATGCATGCTTAGCTTGCATCTGTCCACTTCTTGCTTAGTCACATATTGTCAGTGTTCCTGGCTTAATGCACAAAAGATTGACACTAGAGATGCACTGATATGTTCTTGTAAATCGGTAGAAGGTTTCATACCTTAAGCATCCCTTGTCAATAACATTTACATCATTAGTACAAATGCAGATGCATTTGTAACAATGGACACCTTTTAGAAATGCCTATTGTTAAGATAAACCTGTATTTCATGTTCTGTAACAACAATGGTAGCTGTTATTCTCTCCAGTATTTTAGCATTGTGCTTCCATAGAGTCAAAGCAACAGAGGCTCAGACATCATGACTTTTAGACCCAATTATGGGTCAAGCAAGCATCCAGAACACTGGATCCTACAATTCCCATCATGCAACTGAATAGATTCTTTCGCGAGACCCTCTCTGTCTGGTTGATGCTCACCTTGATGCTTAAAACTCCAGTGTTTGGCAACAACTGCAGATTAGATAATGTGGATCTTAATGCACTGTTAATGCTTTAGATTTTGAATATTAATTATAATTTTTATGAAAGATAATAATCCAAACCAAATACTGCCATGGTTTCAGATTTGACCGTTTTTAATGCGTGATTTACTATTTTGAAAAACAATCACAAAAGTGGGTATCACACTAACAGTATTCTCTTATATTGGTGTATCATTAATGCACAATAGCCGCCCCAGTTTTCTTCACCAGCTCAATATTGTACTGTGAGAAATGTCCCTTTTGATCTATTTTTAACTGTTAAGAATTCTCAACAAATACAACATCTCCCCTTCTTCATCACAGGAGCTCGTGGATGAACTGTATAACTTCAGAGATTGCTATTTTGAGACTCACAGCGTGGAGGAAGCTGGGAGGAAACAAAGCGATGTCGCGCAGGAGATCCAAAAGACCCTAAAGAAGGTGGAGGAGAAAGAAGGTGAGTGCTTCATTCTAACACGACAGCGCTTCAGTCTTTTAATCTTCAGAATATCGATCACACTTACCGTATTCTCTGCGTTTACGATTTCCCACAGATCATTTTAAACACAAAGCAGAGTTTCTGCTGCAGAAGGGTAGGTGTCTGAATGTAGCTCCAGACTTCAGCACTGTAGCGGAGGAGTGCCTTTCCCGAGCTGTGAAGCTGGAGCCTGGCCTGGTCGAAGGTTGGAACACATTGGGGGAGCAGTACTGGAAAAAAGGAGACCTGATGGGTGCCAAGAACTGCTTCACCGGAGCCTTGCAGCAGGTACATTGACAACAGTAAAAGAGATGGACATGTTTTAAACGCGGTGAAGCATTCTGACCACTCATGTGGAACTTCCGTCTATGCTCGGTTTCTATTATTAACTCATCTGTCTTGTGCTTTTTCTGCCACCGCTGCAGAGCAAAAACAAGGTGTCTCTACGCAACCTGTCCATGGTGCTGAGGCAGTCTCCGGCGGCAGACAGCGATGCACATGGCAAGCAGGTGCTGAAGAGTGTGGACATGGCCCGACAAGCCGTCCAGCTGGATGTCACAGACGGGACGTCCTGGTGTGAGTAGAGCGTCTGGGTACTACCAGCGAGCAGAGGACAAGAGTTAGAGGAAAGTAATGATTGTACAAATGATGCGCTGTCCTAAAATTGTCTTTCATGTTATTGTTTTTACAGACATCCTGGGAAACGCCTACGTGTCCCTGTTCTTCACCTGCGGACAGAACCCCCAGTTGTCTCAACAAGCTCTAAGCGCCTATGCGCAATCTGTGAGTGCTGACTGAGCATTAAACATGTTAAAAATCTATCGGCACTAACTGCACTATTGTAATGTTTTTACTCCTTCTCTTCCTCATTCGTAGGAGAAAGTAGACAGAGCGGCCTCGTCTTACCCGGAGCTGCATTTCAACCGCGCCACGCTGTTCCAGTACGAGGAGATGTTCGGGTCTGCACTCGGCGGCTACAGCCGCGCCACGGCGCTCGACCCGGGCTGGGAGGAGCCTCCAGAGAGAGAGAAGCAGCTGCTTGTGTACCTGGTGAAAGTCACAGAACTCATACAGAACAAGGTATGGAGACCCTACAGCCCATGGTGATGTCTTTAAAGGCCTTGTTTATTCAGGTCAGCAGTCCAAAACCCAAAGATATTTAAATTGCTGTCATAGCAGACGTTGACATATTTTGATCACCACAAGGTGGCAGCAGAGCACAGCCATATCTCCCTTTTCTTCCGCTCCTCACTTTCCGTCTCTCCATCTCTCCAGGGGAAGGTGAAGGCGCGTCGGTTGAGGACGATGCTCTCTAACCTCAGCACGTCGGCCATGGGTCCCTGCTCCTCCCCTCAGTTTCGATCCCCGACCGGCCGCGTTGGCAGCCTGGAGCCTCGGACTCTTTCCTCCCTCACGCACGGTCACAACGTCGGGATGGCCGCCCTGGGCAAGGTGGTGTTCAGCCTGGCCTCAGAGGGTCGCATGGCCTTGTGAGTGCAGCTTATCTTTTATCATTAATAGCTCTCGTAATGTACACGCTTAGATTTTTGGAGTGATGTTGTAAAATCTTGCACTCTTTTTTTTCGCCTCCAGTACATTTGGCATGGTGGACAGCGAGGAGTCATGTATAGTGGTGATGGTGTACAACACAGCGGACAGCTGGGGCGTCCTGATAGGAGACACTGTCGTCATTCCTGAACCTCAGGTCAAACGGAACAGCATAACGCATAAAGATGAGGTCTGTGTTTCACGTGTGCACTTCAAAATGTGAAGACGTCTTCCTAATTAGTCTCTGACTTTTACATTTCTTCCCTCCGGCAGTCGTTTGACTTCAGAAGTATACGAGTGGACTCTCCTCTGCTTCTCATCGTCAACTGCAAGAAACAAAATGCCCAAAGTCAGATCGCCGCCTCCGTCAGCTATAAGCCCCAGAGCGAATGAGCCGAGCGAGCAGAAAGTACAGCAAGAGGACCAATTTGTTTTTCTTGGATTTTGAAAGAATTTGGATGATTATGGATGTTCAAAGTGTCTGCCTGTTTTTATGTGTTGCTTTGTATATAGGTCACCATGTTACTTTGTCTTTAGATGGACATTTTGTTTATATTTATAAATAGTTATTTTTTGTAAATTAATGTACCTGTGATGATAATTTGATGTCAGAATTGTGATTTAAGTTTACCTTGAACAAAAATCCTTTTTATCCTGAACACATTGTTTGTGTGGTGTCTTCAAACAGCAGGTTTCAAATGTTTTTTTACTTTTCATATTGGAGAAGCACAGCTCTTAGTAAAAAAATTAAATAGGCTCTCCAATTAAAATGTCCCAGTAAGTTGTTATGCAGTGAAAATCCCGTCACACACAATCTTCAAGTCTAGACCTCAGTGGGTCTCCTTCTACCTTTAATCAACAACCAACCAACTGCTCGGGTTTAACCCAAATTGCCTAAATTGTTCACACAATGTGTATGAGGGAACACCTACTGCTATTCATTCAGTAACATATGTAGTTCTTACTATAAAAGTAAATGTATGCAACGGTTGGGGTTAGACTTACCCCCTTAATCCTCTATATTTTATACTTTTAAGATAGTAATCACACATGAAAATACTGAAAGGAACGAGGTAACGGTTACGTTTTTAATCTCCTATTTTCACAATCTACATGAATAGAGAAGACTGTAAGGCAGTGCACTTTGTAAACAGTTCATATTGTCTTGTCAAGTACTTCTTTACACAAATGTTCGGTAGAGACCTGGACTTAAAGTTGAACATTAAGATTTCATGCCTAGTTTAGTTCAAGATTACAATAAATACGACAAAAATGAACTCGGGGCAAACACTGCCAGCTAAATGAATACCTAAACATTTGAACACTTTGTAAATAAACGTAGTTCGGTGACTACGCTCCGGCCGTGATGAAATCTGTTGCTGTCTCAGTGCTTCTTCATGAAGGGCCGGCCTCTCTCCCTGCTAGGGGAGCTGAACTGGAAGAAGGTCTTGGCTCCGTCGGCCTCCAGGCAGGAGAAGAACCGGCTGTCCCCATCGTGGCCCACCGAGAGGAACTGAGGGCTTCTCTGGGGAGTCGCCGGCCGAGCCACCCCTAGGTGACACGCAGGGGGGGGGGTTGATAGATGTCTCTCATTGTTATACTGAGTAAAATGTCCTCACACAGATGATCAGCTCATTACTCCCACTGTTGGGTTCTTAATGACCACTTCTTGACAAAACACCTACAGCTGTGTCTTCCCTTGTGCTATTTAACATACTTCTCTGTTTGCTTCCTTCCTTTTCTCATGAATCAGTGTGACACAACAAGTGATTTAATAAAAGCAGGACCGCTTTTTTTCCTGCCAAACGTGTTGTGTTGGACTGCAGCTAACAATATGTTCGATTATCCATTAATCTGTGGCCTGATTAATCTGTGAATCTCAACTTTTAACATCCTTAGAAAGTCTGTATTTAATGTTTTCCCAATCTTCAAAGACCAATAATTGCAATCAATTTAAAATGATATGTTTAATACTTCAAAACAAAAAGACTAAGTACCTCAGTTTCACGTACCTTTAAGTTCCTATTGTTCTTACCTGTGTGAAAGTCGTGGTGTCCTGGTTGTAGCAGCGTGTCTCTTTCCCCCACATCCACCACCATGTTGCGCAGCCTCAGAGAGTCGTACAGCCCCTGTAGTTTCTGGTACTGCCTGTTCCTCTCCATCAGCCTCTCGGACACATCGCTGTACTTCCTTTTATATTCCTCCATCACCTGAAAGGAAAGAGGATCTCGTAAATTTGTCATATATTGTATTGGACGTATATGTTTATTCATCACGCACAGATAATGACCACGGAGCACTGCGCTTGAGTTTAAGAATTGTGGCTTACTTTCTTCAGGGAGTCGATTTCCCCCCTCATGCCGGTGAGCTCCAGCTCTCTGCTCTGGTTCTGCTGAGTCAACACCTTCTCCATCTGCTTCAGCTGGGCCTCAGCCCGTGACAGACTGTACTCCTGATACATATGTTCCTGATGGACCTGTTTACAAAGACAAGCTGGATGTTTTACAACCAGGCTGGGCTTCAAAAAAAGACATTTCAAGACCCGATTCACACTATGTTCATATGCATACAAACAGAAATTTGACCTGATAGCTCCAGAAGGCCAGAGCACGTGCGCTGATGTCCAGAACTACGTCTGGTGGCAGACCGGCCAGCACCATGGCTTTGTACTGCTCAGAGGGAGACAGCTCCGTCCTCACGATGTCCAGCTTCCCGGAGAGTGCAGAGGAGCAGGCCGGGCAGATGGCCGGGGAGCGGCTGAACGCATCGGACCCGTGCTGATCGCAGAAGACGTGTGAGCAAGCGGTGACCCAGGCGAAGCCGCTCAGCTTGGACCGACACTTTGGGAAGTTACACAGGAGTGTGTCGTCGCAGAAAGACATGGCCAAGCCATTAACTCAAGGTTCTATGAGGCAATCACAAACATTTTAGGTTTAGAAGACAAATAAAGTAATCAATGTGGGAGCAACAGGTTATTAAATTAGTTCTTCTTAGCAGTGTGTGGGGTTTACACGTATCACACTCTCTTGGACATCAAATCCTGGGAGGTTTCAAGACATAAAAGTCCTATTAGTTGAAATTTGGGAACTAGAAATCACAAGGCTTTTGGTAACAATTTCTAATGTGTTAATGTGTGTGTGTGTGTGTGTGTGTGTGTGTTTTGATTCACTTGTGCTATTTAATGCATAACTAGAGTTTTTCTTTCCCATTATTTTTCTTGGAGTAAAGCAGTATTTTGACTCCTGAAGCAACAAATAAAGAATGTTAGCGTCCACCTTACTGGGCTGCCATTCAGTCCTCTTTTATTATGTAAAACTTTACTTTTTAATTTTTTTACATCTTAGCTCTTTATATATTATAGATATAGAAATACTAAATGCCACAAATCATAACTTGGCTGTATGAACAGGTAACTTAATGCTATGTAGTTGGGCTAAGTTTAGGTTACATAGCTAGCTTAATGCTACATCAACTGCTATTAAATATTAGCATTAGCGGTTAGCTGGTTAAACAGAGCTGTTAAATCCGCTCCAAATGCTGCTGTTGACAAAGGCATTGCCATGTAACACTACAACGTATACTTTAACGGTAATATTATGATTAATTTCTCACTAATTTCGGGAGGTACCGACCTACCAGTTAAGTCTTTGCTCAGCAGGTGACGGAAGGTGACGCTAAATGAATACTGTCATCTGATTGGCTGATTGCAACTCAAACTCTCAACTGGAAAAAGCTGAAAACATTCACTTCAGATGTTTAAAAATTAACTTTCATTAAGTCTATGAATACTTAATTGGATGAGAAAAGACAAAATATTTGTAAATAAATAAAAATAATAATATATATAGTACTTTTACTTAACTGAAATTTTGACTTTAACTTAACGCAGTATTTTTAGTGTGGTATTGCTACTTAAGTAAATAATCTGACGATTTCTTCCACTTTTTTGTACTACTAAAAGCAACCTGTTCGACTTTACATCACTATTTTCTGTTTGTTTTCCAGGTGATGATTAAGCTAGATGAAGTGATACACTTTATGTCCAAAACTGTAATCCTAGATAAACATGACATTTATTTCCCCCCAAGTCACATAATGCCCTATTTTCTTACACAGCCTCTGAGTGGATATATGTATAATGTGAGACACCTACTTAAATATGGCCTCCCCTTCTCCTCCTCCTCCTCTCCCACTTTTTTTTTTCTCTCTCTCTCTCTTTTATCCATTTCTCCACGTGGTACAGGAGTAAAGGCGGGGGGTGAAAGAGGGGCATTGTGCTGTGCTGCAGTGGATCCGGGGGTTCATAGTGAGAGAGGGGAGATGCTCACTCAACTGTGTCCAGCACGCCATTGTCAAAGATTCCCATCTATTCTCTGCCTTTTAAATAGAGCTCCAGTGTAAGATGCTTTTTTTGGGGAGGGGGCGGTGGGTATTATACGCTTGGTGATAACACACAAAATACATCCATGTGGAATGGCTATGTGGCCCCGCTTGCACAAAACTCACTGCACTGTTGTTGATAATTGGCCGTATGGAAATCAAAGGGTAGAAATATTGCCTATTCATTCTTCATCTGGCACAATAACACCGCTGGGAAGACGGATTTTTGATTTTGCAAGTCAATTATTATGGCTATGATTTCATTATTAATCCACTGAGAAGAAGTAAGTAGCTTCAGTACACCTGGGGCTCCTGAACAGATGTCACCTGATGGATGAGCCACCTGTTAAGACTTCTTTGAGACACATTGTTGCATCTTAATTTGACCATTAATTATGGTATATCTTTTAGGCATATCCTTAGCAAAATAGCCGATTTGGACGCCCATTTCAATTTGTTTTTAAGCAATCCAACGGCTGTGACACCTAATTGTCATGTTTTATTGAAAGTTTATAGCTGCTGTGTGAGTGTGTAAAGAAAAATAAAGCTGGAGAGAAAGAGAGAACCAGGGAGGCTGTGTGTTACACGCCATTGAAATGCAAATATCATTGAAGAACAAGGAGTGGTTCTGTGTCTGTGTGTGTGTGTGTATGGCGTGTGTGTGTGTGTGTGTGTTTGTATGTGTGTGTGTGTTCCCTGTATGTGCATGCAGCGGGGTAGAGGAGGGGCGCAAATTGGACAAGTTTTTTGGGGGAGAAGAGACTTTAGAAAACAGCCACACACACGCATTCACAGCGGCTCCATATGACACGGTGCGGACCTGCGGATTTCCGACACCTATTTATTTTTTTAAACTTTCATTTAATTTAGAAGTGATCTTACACACATTTAAATTTCCTTTTTTTTATCCCGGGACTGGCATAATGTGCGCGTCTTTTGAACTTTAGATGCTTGGATGGTTTAAGGAGCGCTCCCAAGTGCGCAAAAACGTGCCTACTGCCATTCAAGCGGCTGATGCCCCCCTCTCTGTCTGAGTCGCAGTGAATCATGTCACGCCGGAAGCAGAAGCGACCCCAGCATCTAGTTAACGCGGATCCGGGGGGCCCAAGGCTGCTATCTCACGGTGAGTAAACATATCTTTACGAGTGTGCATGCGTTTTTGTCTTAAATGTCTTGAAAGAGTGCAACCGTCCTGCAACTTCACGGCGATCATCACAACACTGCGGCACGGAATTCACTCTCGGCGTCTGAATATCGCCAGAGAGCTTAACAATAGCAAAAGTTTTGGTGTTTAGACGTAACCTGCAGGGATTTGCGTGCGCTATTTATTGTGTGGTTTCCCGTCGATTGCGGCCATTTTCGCAAGTTTATTTACGCAGGGCCGAATTCCACCAAACGCACCTGATTTTATTAACAGACTAAAAAGAGTTGAAGATCAGTGTTTGTCAACTAAAGAAACCCCTCCTGCTCAGCCATTCATTGTAATGGGCCCCACTAAATGGAAGCCTTTGGGCACTTTATTCGGGGCCAATAAACGTGTTCCTGTGAAATGAATAGAGTAGGATTAACTAACATACATCTGTGGCCATTTTCATATGCTGTTCGTCCTCTAGGAAACCAACAGGCTGCTCAGCGCTGACTGCTGGAGGTCTTTGATTAGTATAGAGCACTCTCTTATTCGCTAACAATAAGGTGCATGGGTGGGGGAAGGGAAGGCAGTGTTTTTGGAAAAGATTAATCTTCCACCCTTCTATTCTCTTCTTTTGCTCTACGTCCATGCCTTTCTCTCTTATGCACCCCTCTTCCCCCATTTTCCACCTTCTCAATACTTCCCACCCCCTTCTTTCTCCCTCTTTCTCACCCCTCAACCCTATTGACTGTATACTCCTACACAGTTGGGGGGGCTCAGATGGATGAGAAAAAAAAAAAGATTGAGAGGGGATAGAGAGATTGCTCTTTCACACTTGTTCTTTGTTGCAATAGGTCATATCTTCAAGTGCATGCACCTAAGACTCCGTAGGTAAACTTCCACAAGAAATAAAGTTTAGCCGAGGAGATATTTTTGTGTTTCCTGCAGGTTCAGGTTTGTGATGAAGTCTCACAGTGAAGGAATTTTACTGAGGTACAGTCTTTCATTCCATCACTATATCACTCCAGGAGGGAATAGTTAGTTTGTCTCTCCATTGTTGTTACCCTCCCCCCTTCTTTTTCTTTTACCCTTTCTCACTCTGTGCTCAAGATTCTGAAAGAATTTGACCCCCGAGCAGCAGAGGTGAGATTAGTTGACCAATCAGAGTGTCTGGACAGTGCCCAGAACCCTTAGCGTGGCCTGACCCTTGACCTCCACTGTGACGTAAGGGGGGAAGGGTGAATAGGGAGATGAAAGACGTAACTGCTGCGGGGAGGGGGGTGGGTTAAGAGGGGTTATGGGTTGTCTTGGTGATGCCCATTGTCCTCTAAAACGTGTTGCCATAGCAGCAAGGTGGTCTGTAAGCTTTTTTGTGTGCGTAAGATGTTTGAGGAGTTTTGCTCCGGAGAGCACAGATTGAGACAAGACATTACAAAGACTCATAGACTGCAGAGTTTCCTCCACTTATTTATTTGCTTGTTCAAGGCCATTTCCAAGCAGGCGTTTCTTTAGAAGTCGTTACAGGATCTTCTGGTACGCACACACACAAATTTGCAAACTAAACTTGTAAACAATAATTGGAATCAATGAAATAAACAGACTGTAACTGAAGTAGAGCGTTTTAATTAATTTACATACCTGGATGTCTGGGCTGATATTGGAGACTGGGTTTTGCATAAGAATGACCCTGCAAAGAAACAAACAAAGTTGTTGTTTTTTTTTTTTAATCTCCTTTTTTTTGTCAATCCTCAGATGATCATCTGGGCATGAAATCACCATCCACATCTCTTGGCTCAGAAGTGACCTCGTCGGGTTCCTCCTCCTCATCCCCCACCTCTCTCCGAGACTGCCAGCCGCCTCTGGCCCCTCGCCCATCCCCTGGTGGGCTCCACGCGCCCTCCTTACCCAGCGAGAGCTCGCCTCCTCCCCACTGGCCCAGCCACATTGCTCCCTTCACCACCTCCCTCCCAAACACCCACTCTTCCCTCTCCCCAGACTTTCCTCACCCCTCACTGTCATCCCAGACTCACTCACCTCCTCCCCTGGGTCAAACCTCAGGTTCCCACAGCCTGTCCCACCAAGGAAACTCTCACTCCACCATGACGTCCCCACCGATGGGCAGCTCAGCCACCACCACTACCTCCTCCTCTTCCTCCTCCTCGTCTTCTCAGTTTGTGCCGCTGCACCGCGACAGCTCCAGTCCAGGTCATCAGCAGCCCTCCAGCTCTCCGGGGCACCAGGGACAGATCCATGTGTCGCCAACCCTGGCAGTACTCCTAGAGGAGCTGAGGATTTTACAGCAGAGGCAAATCCACCAGATGCAGATAACAGAGGAGATCTGTAGGCACGTTTTGAGGCTCGGAGGCGCCGTCTTTGGCCAAGATAACACACAGGCCAGTGGGGACAGCAACCGGAAGTCTAAAGGAGCAGCATCTTCCTCACCAACACACCCCTCCACTGCCACACCAGTATCCACAGCCTCATTGCTTTTGACTGGCCTTCCATCTTCCCTCTTTCCCCAGCCCTCTGTCTCTAAATCAGGTGCTTCACATGTTAATGGCAGCAGAGCTCAATCCTCCTCTACCTCATCTATTTCATCCAATATCAGCTCCTCTGTTGCCTCCCTGCACCCTCTGTCCTTGTCGCTGGGCCTACCACCGCGCTACCTCCACGAGAAATCATCCAACACCTCCTCGTTTGGTCAAAGCAATGGTATCAGTTTCCAGACTCCTCCCCCCCTTCCAACCACCAGCCACTCCCAGGATCTCCAGCCCAGCTCCTCTCTGGGCTCTGCGTCCTCAGCAGGACGTCCTCAACATATGTGCCGTTTTTGTGGGAAGGTGTTAAGCAGCGATTCATCACTCCAGATCCATCTGAGGTCGCATACAGGTGAAAGGCCCTATCAGTGTCCAGTCTGCTTGAGCCGTTTTACAACCAGGGGAAACCTCAAAGCCCATTTCTTGCGACACAGAGAGCAGAACCCAGAGCTGTCCCTCTCCCTGCTGCCACCAGCATTATCAGATCAACCACTGAGTGTTCCTGTCCCTACCCAGAGGAGAAGAAAACGGCGAGCTGATGATGATGAGTCATTTAATGGAGTGAAAGGAAGCATTCCAGGGATGGCAGAGAACATGGCTTTAGGATTCCTGTCGGGTGCATCCGCCCGGCCCTCGCCTTCCTCTCTACCTCTGCCGCCGTCAGTGGACATGGCGTTGTTATCCACAGCCCACTCATTGCTACAGCTGAACAGAGCCTCGGCTGCAGCTGCTGCCAACGCATCCAGCACTGGACTGCCTTCTTCCTCTTCGTCTTCCTCCTCCTCCATGGGCAGCCAGTTCAAAGGAGCAAAGCAGCAGCGATTTGATGAAAACACACCTCCTCACTCTGCCCTCCATACAGCCTCCCCATACTCCCAACTGGCCCACCTCCCCAAGATTCTCTTCCCTGAAGGTACCTCCCCTCACCACCTTGCACTTCTCCGGCCCCCAGGCCATCCATCCGCCTCACACCTCACTTCGCCTCATCAGCTACCCTTCCCGTTTCCACCTTTCCCCAAACCATCAACCTCTTCATCCTCTCCCACCACCTCTACCCAAACTTCAGACACCTCCAAGTTGCAGCGCCTTGTACAGAAGCTTGAAAAGGGGGCCTCTTCTTCCTTCAGCTCCGCACAAACCCTTGCTGAAGCACATGGCGACACACACGGCCATGACCTGTCCACCACTTCCAGTGCCTATCGCAGGGAAATGTTGGCTGCTCTCGGCCTGAGCCCAAGTACCAGCCAGGGAGTCTCAGGCACTACCATGACTACTCATTCTCTGCCTAGCGCCCAGGCTGCTAATCAGTGTGGAGTGTGTCTGCGAGTCCTCAGCTGCCCCAGAGCGCTGCGTTTGCACCAAGCCACACATCTGGGAGAGCGCCCGTTCCCTTGTAAGCTGTGTGGCCGTTCCTTCTCCACGAAGGGAAGCCTCAGAGCCCACCTGGCCACTCACCGTGCAAGACCGGCTAACTCCCGAGCCTTGAACTCCTGCCCGTTGTGCCCACGCAAATTCACCAATGCCTTGGTTCTTCAACACCATATCCGCTTGCACCTGGGAGGGCAAATACCTCCTGATGGAGATATGCCAGCTGAAGACGCAGACGAAACGGAGAACGCTGTCTTCAATGAGCGTGAGAATAACTCCCCTTCTAAAACTCAACAACTCCTTCCTCTGGCCTTAACAACACGCTCCAAGTCTCCAATTGATGCTCTAAACTCAGGGTCCACTTCTAAGAAATCCACAGCTGCTGATGCCACTTCTGTGAAGACAGAGGAATCAGAGGGCTCAACACCCAGTGTTAGCCCACCCCTGACCCGTAATCCCCCCTCAGTGGGAGCCGAGGACCCCCTGCGTCTGAGAAACAACACCCTAGCTGATGGTAGCCCCATGAACTCTGAGGAGGAGACCCATGCTGACCTGGGCAGCACCAGCTCATTAAAAGCACCCATAGCTAGTTCTCATCCAGCTGTAGTGAACGGAGATGCGGAGGCAGATGACGCCCCTCTATCGCTCTGTGTTTCAAAGCCTCGAGTAGAAAATGAGAGGCTGGATACGGGGGTTAATAACGATGAAGCCTGCTCCACAGACAAACCTACCACAAGTCCGGATTCTAGCCCCAAACCCCCAGCTGCAAATGCTTCACCTGCACTCACCCCCCCTGCCAGCCCCAAAACTACCCCCGAAGCAGAAGAGGCCTGTGGCAGTGTACCACAGGAGGCACAAAAGACAGATGCTGCCCAAAGCAATGGCAAGAGTGAGACCACCACACCCGGAGAGCCTTTGCCAGTCCCGGATCCAGAGCCGGAGAAGGATGCTCCAATGGAGGAGGGTAGTAGAGTGCAAGAAAAGCCTGCAGAGGACCCAGAGCCCTCTGTCCCAGCACCAGCTCAGCCTCCTCGCTCTGACAAACCCTACAGCTGCTCCCAGTGTGGAAAGGCATACGCCAGCCGTAGCGGACTTAAGGTAAGGGTTAAGGATATTGTGGATTTGTATGTTGTAATATAATTTTTTTAAATGGAAATACATTTTTATGTCAATTAAAGATCTAATCCTTCTGGACTTGTGAATAACTGGATATTGTGTTGTTTCTCTCATCAACAGGGCCATATGAAAACTCACCCTGGAGTATTGACCAACACCCCTTCCAAGGCTCAAACCAATGACACAGACATTGTGGAGGATCGCAGCTCACATGCAACCAATAAGAATCGGGTACAGAAGGAAGAAGAGCAGGGATTGGCTAAATCCCCCGAGAAAGGTGATGCCACAGATCCTCTACCAATCAGTGTTGTTTCTAGTGTGGCGGGCGAGCCTATGGACACTACTGTGTAGAGTTAGTTTCGTTAAGTGGCTGCAGTCAGTCTTTAAGAAGGGTCCTGACAAGGGAATGTATTTTTATTTTTTATTTTTTTTTGATAGAATGAGAATCGTTTTCTAGAGTTATTGATTCTAATTCATGTTTACCTTTTGTATTAGGTAGATCGATTTAGTTTGTATTGTAGTCCCATTGCAAGAGATTTGTGAATGTAGTGTCTTAGCTATGTATTTTTGTATTTCAAAGACCACAGTGAGGCCTTATCTTACACACTTCACAGAATTGTCACAATGAGAATTACTTGTTTGCGCTTTTCTTTTTTTTTTTGCTGACACCTATTTTCAGCACGTACTGTATAAGTTGATTTGAATAAGAGGGACGGTCCAGCATTTCACAAGATTAACTCCATACCAAAACAGGCCAAAAATTTGTAATGGCCAATGTTTGTAAATTTGTGCTTCCTTTTACATTTAATGCCTTTTTATTGTTACTTTCTTCTTTCCTTTGTTTAATGCCATGCTGCTCAAAGCATGTTTCTGATGTGCTGACTTGCACTGTGAGTTGCACTGTGTCCTGTGCTGACGAAACATCTTAAACACGTTAGCAATGATGATAACCACGATGACGATAATAATGATGGCGATGATTGTGTTACTACTTTTGTGAACAGTCCTGGTACTTCTAGCTGTAAAATTTGCTGATACTGATGATTGTAAATGTTTTTTTCTTGTTGACGCTATCTGGAGTGTCAAACTGACAATAAGGATGAGCCCTGTCCGTTATAGTCCCCTCCTGCTTTATCTTTCCTCCCCCCCCCCCCTCTACCCCCTGCTCTCCTCTCTCAAAGCACTTGAGAGTTTTCTGCTCCTGCAGAAATTGTCTGCACTCACTGCATTCCTGCTTTGCCCAGTTTAGTATTTGTATGCTTTGTAAACCCTTTTCTTGTAGCAATGACAAAATATGTTCCCATCCCACCCATGTGATGTACAAAAGATAAATAAAACAATGGTGATGTGAAGAGGAGAAGTTTGTTGCTTATCTGTGTTTTTTTTTTTTTTTGGGGGTTCAGTTTAAGCCTGCTTCTTTGTGAATTAATTTATCTGTTTAAGTATTCTGTTTGCATGACTCCTATTCTGTGTGTGCCTGCATGTATGCTGTTGGTCAGCTTGCTTGTTTGTTCCAGCCCTTGGCGTGTCTGGATCGGGGGTCCTTTGTCTGGGGCGCTGGGCTAGCTGTCTCCTAATTCTGCCTTTTTTGCCTTCAGTGTCTTTTAATATGTTTCAGTTCCCCGCTACTGTGTGTGTGTGTGTGTGTGTGTGTGTGTGTGTGTGTGTGTGTGTGT